GTATTAGAAAATCTACAGGTAATTTTGGAATTGTTTATGTTTTGTAGTTGAATCCCACTGCAGTCGTTAATGACAATGCTGAAAATGTCTCTATTTTACCTACTGTTTCCCTATAAACTTAACATTAGTGGGTTTCCTCAGTTGCACTGTCACTCGTCTTGCTAACCTGTCCTAAATATGTCAAAAAGTATCTCTAATTTCAGGTGCATCTTTGGCTTGTTTTAGCTAATGTTTAATTCTAATTTCAGGTGCATTTCAGTTCTTTGGCTTGTTTTAGCTAATGTTTAATGTACCTTTCATAGAATCACAGAGTCATAGAATCGTTAAGGTTGGACGGGACCTCTAGAGATCATCTAATCCTACCCCCTGCACATGCAGGGTCACCTAGAGCACGTGGCACAGGTGGCGTCCAGGTGGATTTTGAAGATCTCCGGAGAAGGAGACTCCACAGTCTCTCTGGGCAACCTCTTCCAGTCTCTGTCACACTCACTGTTAAGAAATTTTCCATTAAGTTCCTGTGGAATTTTTGATGCTTTAGTTTCTGGCCATTTCCTCTTGTCCTGTCGCTGGCCACCACTGAAGAGAGGCCAGCACCATCCTCCTCCTTCCCTTAAGGTATTTATAGACACTGATCAGGTCCCCTCTCAGCCTTCTCTTCTCCAGGCTGAACAGGCCCAGCTCTTACAGTCTCTCCTCATAAGACAGATGTTCCAGCCCCTGATCATCCTGGTAGCCCTGCAGCACAGTGGTGTTGGAGGATGTATGCTGTACTGAGTTAAAGTTAAATATGCATCTGTGAGCTAGAGCAGAGACCCTTGGCATCCCAGTTTGCATTCAGAGTTCTGCAGGCTGATTAACAGTTTGACCATTTGCTCTGAGTAATCCTGTCAGGGTTAAGAAATGGTTCTGTAATAGTTCTTGCCTCAAAGATTAAATGAGGAATGTGGCAGAAAAGAGAAATAGAGTGGCAGCTGAGGATGAGAAGAGCACGTCTCACTATGGAAAGTGCCTGCATAACTTAACAGGCATAAGCAGTGTCAAGCTTTCAAAATAAAGCTAAAAATAGAAGGGGAAATCTTGGCGTGAAGCTGGAGGATACATCTCAAGACTGTCTAATGTGTAAACATGTCTAATGATTCATTATGGTTGATTTCTTTCCCCCACTTACTGCAGTTTCATTTTAGGTGATTACAGCCTAGACATAAAACGAAGCTTATAAGTGGATTATGTAGAGATTACAAAGCAGTTTGGTATGAAAAGCGTCAGAAGAGTTCTCAAGAAAATAAAAGCTTTTCCTTTTTTACTTGTGTCAGCTTGAGCTTTGTCAGCATTTTCCAGAAGCTGTTACGATCTGCTTACGCCTGTGCACTGTTAGCAGCCTGGTAATTAAAGCAGAGAAACGTAAGCCGGGAAGTCCTGTGGTTCTTCCTGCTTGAATACTGCCCAGTTCAAGAAGTCGCAGGCTAAGTTGAACTACAGTCCTCATAACAGCATAAAATAGTGGTTAGCAGTACTACTCGATATTGTGATGTTTTCAGAAGTATTTCATCAGTTCATCAGGGAGAGAACTCCACCCTCTGGGATGATGGATGATGAGCCCCAAATCCAGGGGGGACACATTAAGGTCAATCCCACATTGACCTTAATGAATGTGGGATTCCATAACTGGCTAAATGCAGCCTTGCAGTTAGTCCAAGTGACAGAATTCTGATGTAAATAAATGTTCTTAGCATGACGTTGCTGAAATCTGTAAGGATTTTTTTCCAAAGTACTTTGGTTTTCCTTTTAGGTTTATCACAATATATATGTGCCATAAATTCCTTTGAGATTGTTAAACTATATATTAGTATTTCTGTCTTATTTTACAAGTGCCATATATTATCAGCCTCTCAAGAATGTATGTGCTCACAGAACTACACACATTTAGAAATGTGTATTTCAAAACTGGGGTGGAGGACATCAATCTAACCCTACGAGACTATCTCAGATGTGTTTAAGTTTGTTTTGAATGTATTGCTTTCTTTGCTTGCTCATAGAGTATCTGTCACCTGCCAAATAAAGAAGATGGAACAGCCTATCCACGCCAAGCTGTATCCAACAAACCTAAAAGATACCAGATCTCTGGTGCATCCCAGGCTTTTGCTTAAAAATGTGCTTTCATGTGTCTATTTCCATCTTCAAAATAGAGCATTTAATAGGTATCCAATTCCTTTGTGCACAGCTGCCAACCTCGATAGCATGTTGTTAGCGAGAATGCTCTTTTTCAACTTATGACTGCAAAATAGGCTCCTTTATTTCTCATTTCAGAATTATGACCTGCTTTGTCATGCTGCTTTGACAGGTGTTGTTTGCAGGAGATGTTAGTACCATAGCCATGCAGTGACTGAACACCAACACTTTACAGGCCAGGGCCGTTGTGCTGTATGTTCCTTTAATAAGCAATTCATTCTTCTATCAGGTTTCAGGGAAAATAAAGTGTACAGCATCCCAGAACACACACACTTAAATAAGCAATGAATCTAGAAAATTGTCTGAACAGCTGAATTCCAAGTAGTTTCAATTTACATTTTTCTTTCTCTCTTATTCCGGGCTCATCTCTCCAAAACCAGTGTTACCAAGGTGTCCAGAATTTCATAAGCAGTGATGTTTGATATGAAATAAGAACTTGAGCTTTACAATCAACAGGCTTTACCAGAGAACCAGGCTTTACAATCAACAAGCATACAAGTAGTCCCCAGATATCACTGGTCAGTTCTCATGCAGAATATTCTTTCTAGTTACATTCTCTGTGATATTTTTAAATTAGTTTCTCAATGTACTGAAAGGCTTTTGGTAATACTGCAGAATTTTTCACTGTGATGTGAAAAAGTTACTTCACTGAGCTAATCTACTTTAGAGAGTTTTATTATTGACCTAGAGGTTGGATCCCTGAGTGCTACATGCAGTGCACACTTGTCTCACTATTCTTTTAGCAAGATATATTGATATCCTTGCGTGGGTTTTTTTTTTAGTTTATTTTGGAGGGGGGCAGAGAAGGACTGGCTGTCTCTCTAAAATTGCATAAGCACAGAACCTCGAAAGTAATTAGATACCTTACTCCTTTTGGAATGAGTGGGCATTAATACCTATCTGCTTTGAGACGGTATGAACAGGTCAGTAGTTCTGGTGCAAATCTGTTTGCTTACAGGAGTTTGTATTAATTTTGCAATACGGACTGCTAAAAAATTTCTACTTTTTAAATCCATCTAACATGCTTGCAGGAGTTGCTGGGGAGCCGTACCCATAGACTGTGAAGACATCTTTGACTGCATCGAAGACTGAAAGTAGAGAGAGCCAAAGGATGGGAGTGAACATCTGCTTGTCAGAGTGAACAAAGAGATTTGTTACTTATCATCATGCTTGCAGTGTTCTATGAACAGACATACTTGAGATCAACTCTATGCTCATTGTCTGAGCACTACTGCAAAAAAAATGTATTACTGATGTTCTAAAGCAAATTCATGGTACTGAGGTAGCATGTGCAGTAAAGACTAAATCCTGTAAAACATCATTTTATAGTCTTGCACTTCTCCCCTTGATGTCATTCTCCTGCAGCTTTACAATTCCTGCCCCGGGCATGATTTAAAGTCAATGTGGATAATGTACACAGTCCACCAAGTTAGTTATAGGGGAATTGTAATTAGGAAAGCAGGAAATTGGCAGAGAAAAGGTTAACGCTTTGTGTGAAGCAAACGCTGCTTCCCCTTGTGCCTGGCAGAATCACCTCTTAAGGCCGCAGACCTGTAAGTTGGCTGGTAGCTGCAGGCCACAAGGGAGACTAGGGGAAAGGGGCCCAGACTGAAAATGCGGGAAGGAACCTGCTGCTCTATTTTAGTTTAGGGGGCGCAGCCCCGGTGTTCCCGCCCCACGCTCCCCTCCTGCCTGCGCTGCCCCAAGGCCTCCCCGGCCCCGT